GCTTACCTCGGGCCGCATTTGCGGCCGGGAGCAGCTTCCACATTGGTCCTGGTCCTCAGACCCCGCGGGACGTGCGGCTACCTACCCCGGCTCGCCGATGTGCGCAACTACTGCGCGTCAACCTGCGCGGGCTCAGGACGTGCGCGCTCCCCAGGACTCTGCCAACTCCTGAAACGCAGAGAAGTGGCCCGAGTGCGCCGCGGGCGCCACCTGGTGGTGCAGAGAGGATAGCGCAGTGCGGGTGGTGTCACAGAATGTTATAGTATCCACTTTTCCCAATTGTGAATGGAGAGAATTTTAAACATCCTCAAAGTAATGTGAATTTTAATTAACTGTATTGCTGGTTGGTTATCAATCCTATTCATGGTATTAACAGTTAAAAAAGGAGATTTCATGCCAAAGCCAACTTCATATTTAGACTGTCAAGTGTTGAGTACAGACACTATGTCAGAAACAGGTGTTTGTACTTTTCCACAATGTCACTGCTGGAGGTCCACAGAGCTGAGCTGCAGGATGTCAGTGATGAGCCAGCCTCTGGTTTGGACTGTGCTGCAGAGGTAAGGTGATCCATCCCTATGGATCTTCTATAGGGATGCATGGGATCATGTCCAGGTGGACAAACAAGTGCACGAACAGATGAGTCTACTGAGGGCAGTTCAAATATGCCACAGTAGCAATGAACACTGACTGAACTGAAGCCCTAGAGACAGCTGGGAGTTCTCTACCTATGAGTGATCAGATGATATGTAGGTGGAGGCTGTTACCATCTCAGTGTTAGGTGTCCTCCTCTTTATACAGTGTTGCACCCTTCCTCAGTCTGGAGTATTAAATAAGTTCTCCAACATGGGTTTTCTAAAATGGTTTTAGGACGCCCATGTGTTTCTGTGTTTCCAATCTACTTCGATACTTTGTAGGTAGAACCTTTTTGTTTTCAGGAATAAGTTATTAATTAGCCTGTGCCCTCATAGGTAGTGCCTTTCAGATAATGGCAGTAACTATGATCACAATGAGGTGCAGAGTCCTGCTGCCTCTGCATTTGCACTCAAAATGAAATCAAATGCTGCTTTGTACAACAGAGTCACTGAGGCCAAAAGCATGAAAACCAGTGTTTCATACAATATGTAGTAACTTAGAGCAGGGTACATCCTGATTTCCATACCTACCTTAGATCAGCTTCTAATATATTTATACTTATGTCTAACCATGTGCTAAGTACTGAACAGTCATTTCCTTCAATTTCCACCTATCACCTCCATGCACCTGCCATAAAACATTAGCACCCCCTCTCATTCACTGCCAGCACATTGCTAATTAAACACACAAAACACACTTCAGATCATATCATTTCTTGTTGACAAAAGCAGTCTGTGATGGTTTGACTGAGAAGTGTCCCACATAGTTCATGTATTTGAATTCTTGGTCCTTAGTTAATAATGCTGTTTGGGGGATGTTATGCAACCTTTAGGAGGTCACTATATCACTGGGGGCTGGCTTTGAGTGTTTATGTCCCCCACTTCCGGTTTACTTCTTGTTACCTGGTGTGATCAGCCAGATTCTTGCTACAGCTGTCTGCGGCCAAGTGGTTCCTACCATCAAGGACTCTCTCTAAACTGTAAGCCAAAATAAGCATTCTTTCTTAAGGTGCTTCTGGTCATGGTATTTTATCACAGCACCAGAAAAATAATTAGTTCACAAGGTCATTAGGGAGTTCTTTAAGATAATTTAGTCCTTGGCCCCTGCTTTCCTCTATCTTGCTGCTTCCTGGCCAACATGAGGTAAGCAGCCTGCTCTGCCACATGCTGTCCCTCTTATGATGTTCCTTCTAATCATAGACACAGAAGTAACTGGGACAGCCATAAATTGTCTCCTGAACACCTTATATTAGAAATACAGATGGACATGTTTATATATTTCCACAATGGCAGCATTTATCGAATAAGAATAAATTCATAAGCTACATCAGTTTTATTGCCTTCAGTTTGCCAAGAAGTTCTGATTTGCTTGATAGCTGGACCAAGACACCCACAGGTTCTTTTATCCCAAACTCAACTGCTAATATCAACTCTCAAATCACAAACTACACATCACATAGTAAATCTGTCTGTGTAGTAAATAATATATCCCATCATCCATCTATCATCTATGTATGTATGTATGTATGTATGTATGTATGTATCTACCTATCTATCTATCATCTATCAACTATGCTGTTAACAAAATGGCAAAAAATAAAAATAAAAATAAAAATGTTAAAGAGGCCTTACTAGAGGAAAGCAGAAAACTCATAGAGATGCAAAGGGGCTCTCCCTGGAAATTGCATAATGAATCTTGTTAGAGGTCTGATGGAGGCCCAACAGCCAAGTTAAGCCAGGATCAGAGTTGAGCTGAGCCTCAGGGTCAAGTTGCACTGCAGAGTGAGGGGCAGAACTCTGGAAACCACAGAGGTAGCAACTAGTCCAGATGGTACAAATGGATGGATGGATGGGTAGTCAGACAGATGGCAATTCAAGTAGGACATATCAAAATGGAATCAAGCTGACCTGGAGCCTCTGTTCTATGGCTGTTTGTCCCTTGATAGACACACTGGGTGATGAGATGACAAGTTGATGGGAGCTGTGGATTTCACATTGTTAGGTATCCTCTTTATGGGTTGCAGGTGAGGATGTTATATACTTTCCTCAGTCTGGTGTGTTGGATAAGTTACTGGACATGTTTTTTCTGGTATGATTTAATGTGCCCATGTGCTCATATGGTCTCAATTTACTTTGATAAACATATATTGATACCTGTTTTAGTTACTTTTCTGTTGCTGTGACAAAACAGCATGACTGAGGCAACTTATAGAAGGAAAAGTTTATTGGGCTTACAGTTCCTGAGGGAGAAGAGTCCATCATGGTCAGGGGAGACATGGCAGGAGGCAGCTGGAGCAGAAAGCTGAGAGTTCACATCTTCAAGTACTCCCAGGAAGCAGACAGACAGACTGGGAGTGGGATGAGGCTATGTGCCTTCAAAGCCTACCCCCAGTGATGTGCTTCCTCCAGCAAGGCCAAACCTCCTAGAGGTTCCAAGACCCTCCCCAAACAGTGCTACCAAATGGGGACCAAGTGTTCAAATACTTGGAGCCTATGGAGGAAATTCTCATTCAAATCACCATAGTACCCTTTTTACTTATTTTAGGAATAAGATATTTCTCAGTCTGTGTCTCGTGGGTAGTGCCAGGCCAATGTGGGGTCATTATATCTCTGTATTTGCACTCAAAATGGAATCAAATTCTGCCTCTAAAGCAGCCTGAAAAACTACTGTTTCACACAATAAATATGGAGTAAGTAAAGGTAGAAAACACTTGGATCTCAGCACATAGAACCTCTGAAAGTGTTAACCAAAACAAACGTTTCCTCCTTTGTATGAGGTACTTTGTCTCAGTGATGGAAAGCTAATATCTCATAAACCTCACAGACGCTTGTGAGGATTCGTGGAATTATCTAAAGGATGCTATTCCTATTCAGACACAGAGAACTATGGTGACAAATATTAGCTTTCCTGACTAATGTATACTCAGGCACTCAAGTTAATCCCCAGTAATCGTGTACATAGAGCACAGAGTAGAAGGCAGTATAAAGCAAGACACTTTCAAATATATTGGTAGAAATATGAGTAGGGGTTTATAGAAAAGTGGGGAAGTTTCTGCTGCTATCGGCCCAAGATGCTATCTGATAACATTCTTAGCTTTTAGGTCAAGGAAGTCAGTTGTCTATTATACATCCCAACAGGTTTCACAGCATAGTCACAAGGATGTTAGCTCAGATGCCACTCTTTGGACTAAAGATCATGTAGATGAATAAATGAAAAATAAAGAAAAAAAATCTATAAAAATAACAATGCTTTCCAAGGACAAAATAGCCTTCCCTCAAGGGGCCGCAAAACCCTGATGCCTTTGTGCATCATATGGTATTTTAAATTCTAAGGAGGGCAGTTGAGATATTTTCTCCTTCCTTAAAATTAATGTGTTACCTGGGATAGAGGAGGTAGGTTCTAAAGCTGATTATAAGAGCCTAGGGACTGGAGAGATGGCTCAGCTCTTAAGAGAGCTTCTGGAACTGGGCTTCTGGTGGCCCACGCCTTTAGTCCCGACATTTGTGAAGCAGACATCAGCCGATCTCTGTGAGTCAAGGCCAGCCTGGTCTACATAGTGAGTTCCAGGTCAGCTGGGGCTACTGGGAGACCCTGTCTCAAAAAGACCAAAAAACAAAACAAAGCAAAAATAAAGGGCTTCTGCTCTCACTGAGGATCAGAGTTCAGTTTCCAGCACCCAAGACTGGTGATACAACCAAAGGCCTGTACCTTCAGCTCCAAAGGATCCCCTGGTTCTGGCCAAAGCAAAAACTCCCAATATGCCCCCCTCCAAATTTATAAATAAAATAAATTTTAGGGAAATAAAATGAACAAAACAAAATAAAATAAATAAAAATAAGAAATAAATTGTAGAAGAAGAAAAAAAGAGGGGCTGGAGAGGTGGCCCTGCAGTTAAGAGCACTGGCTGCTCTTGCACAGGAGCTGGGTTAAATACCCAGCACCCACATGGTGGCTAACAACTATCTGTAACTCCAATTACAGTGGATTGATGCTCTCTTCGTGGGCATTGCACGACATGGGTGCACTTACATACATGCAGGCAATACACTCAAACACATAAAAAATAATAAAATATAAAAAAAGAACACACATTTATAAAGGGGGGAGGTCTAATCTCAATGATCTTCAAGTCTGCTAGTTTTTTTTATGTTGGGTGGGACATGTGTTTCATCAAGTGTTTGGAGGTCAGAAGGCAACCTGCAGGTATTGGTTCTCTTTCCACCTCAAGGCTCCAGGGTATTGAACTTAGTTTGTCAGACTTGGTGGCAAGCATCTTAACCCTCTGGGCCATCTCATCACTCAAGCCTGAGATTTCTAACTAGGAAAATGCCAACATTCTCTGGACTTGTTTATTTATTGGACAAATAAGTTTGTTAACCACTTACTATTTATTGTGCTAGACATGGAGTATAGGATAGAATCCTGTCTTCCCTCAAACTTCGTTAATACCCTGCTGCCTACCTGAAGCCTGACTGATGATATATACTCTCTATATAGTGAGAAACAAAGGGAGATCACTTTGTATTGCAATATGCAATTTTCCAGAATCCTGTCTTCCCTCAAAACTTCGTTAATACCCTGCTGCCTGCCTGATGATATATACTCTCTATACAGTGAGAAACAAGGGGAGATCACTTGTATACACTGTCATCAAGACCAGCCAGTACATGGGAGTGAAGAGTTTGGAAGATGCTTGATAACGGATGTGTGTCAATGAGTTTATAAGTTAATATTTCTATGATGAAAGAATTGTTTATACCTGTCATTTATTTAACAAGATGCCAATTAGCAAATATTTGAGATCCTCCGTGTGTCAGATGATGCTAAGCAATGAAGTACAGAGACAGGTACATCCTCAATACCAGTAAATAACTGGTGGTTGCCAGGCATGGTGGCATACTCCTTTAATCCCAACACTCAGGAGGCAGAGGCAGGCGGATCTCTGTAACTTCAAGGCCAGCCTGGTCTACATAGTGAGTTCCAGGCCAGCAGGCCAGCTGGGGCTACTGGGAGACCCTGTCTCAAAAAGACCAAAAAACAAAACAAAGCAAAAATAAAGGGCTTCTGCTCTCACTGAGGATCAGAGTTCAGTTTCCAGCACCCAAGACTGGTGATACAACCAAAGGCCTGTACCTTCAGCTCCAAAGGATCCCCTGGTTCTGGCCAAAGCAAAAACTCCCAATATGCCCCCCTCCAAATTTATAAATAAAATAAATTTTAGGGAAATAAAATGAACAAAACAAAATAAAATAAATAAAAATAAGAAATAAATTGTAGAAGAAGAAAAAAAGAGGGGCTGGAGAGGTGGCCCTGCAGTTAAGAGCACTGGCTGCTCTTGCACAGGAGCTGGGTTAAATACCCAGCACCCACATGGTGGCTAACAACTATCTGTAACTCCAATTACAGTGGATTGATGCTCTCTTCGTGGGCATTGCACGACATGGGTGCACTTACATACATGCAGGCAATACACTCAAACACATAAAAAATAATAAAATATAAAAAAAGAACACACATTTATAAAGGGGGGAGGTCTAATCTCAATGATCTTCAAGTCTGCTAGTTTTTTTTATGTTGGGTGGGACATGTGTTTCATCAAGTGTTTGGAGGTCAGAAGGCAACCTGCAGGTATTGGTTCTCTTTCCACCTCAAGGCTCCAGGGTATTGAACTTAGTTTGTCAGACTTGGTGGCAAGCATCTTAACCCTCTGGGCCATCTCATCACTCAAGCCTGAGATTTCTAACTAGGAAAATGCCAACATTCTCTGGACTTGTTTATTTATTGGACAAATAAGTTTGTTAACCACTTACTATTTATTGTGCTAGACATGGAGTATAGGATAGAATCCTGTCTTCCCTCAAACTTCGTTAATACCCTGCTGCCTACCTGAAGCCTGACTGATGATATATACTCTCTATATAGTGAGAAACAAAGGGAGATCACTTTGTATTGCAATATGCAATTTTCCAGAATCCTGTCTTCCCTCAAAACTTCGTTAATACCCTGCTGCCTGCCTGATGATATATACTCTCTATACAGTGAGAAACAAGGGGAGATCACTTTGTATTGCAATATGCAATTTTCTGGAGAATTAAACTGATCACAGGATGATTTAAAACCGTGCAATCAGCATCTGAATTTAACGCAGTAAGAGTGCGGGGAAGAAGCAAGGAAGAGGCGTCCGGGGCGCGCAGTACCCCGCCCTCCAGGCCAAGGCGGGGCCGCGTCCACCCGCCGCTCTACTTGGAACTTCCGCCCGAGCCCCTGCTGCCACTTTCCGGACAGAGTTCTGCCCCAGACATGTCCTTGATGAGCCATGTGTTCTTTGCTCGCGTGTCGCTGCGGCCCTGGAGCCCGGGTCCTCAGCGGGTAAGACGGCGCGGGGAGGGTGAGGGCCTGGCGGGCTCCCGGAGGCGGCGGCCAGGGGCTCGGGGAGAGGGCGCTGGGAGCAGAGAGAGGACTCGGCTCCGGGTGCGCAGGGTGCCAAGAGAGAATAGGGTCTCCGGACGCAGGGAGGAGAGAACGAGGGCCTCAGCGCGATCGGGAAGAGAGGACGTGAGTTCGGGGCGCAATGGGGTGAAGAGGCCAGGCAAGGGTCCTGTGGTGCAGAGAGATGTCAGAGGCTACGGCTCCCGAAGGCGGGGAGAAGTGTTCCAGGACAGGGTCCTGGGCGCAGGCATGCGAGAGAGGACAGGGTTTGGGGGTGCAGTGAGGTGACGAGGCCAGGGGTCCTGGGGTGCAGGGAGGTGTCAGAGGCTAGGGGGTAGTCCTGGGGCACAGAGAAGTGTCGAAGGACAGGGGTCTAGGGTGCAGGGAGGAGAGCGAGGACAGGGGCATGGGGCGCAGGGAGGAGAGGGCTGGGGTCTTGGTTACAAGGAGAGAGGCCAGGACATAGGGAGGTCCCTGGAGAAAGGATACAACATTTAGGTCCAGTCAAGGAGGGGTCTGAGGGACTGGGCTGCAGTCCTATTCCATTATCAAGTGGACTAGAAAGGGTATAGAAAGGTGCCCGATTTTCTTTTTTAAGAAGAACAACAAAAACTTTCTGTTTACTCTTAATTTTTGTGTGTTTATGTGTGTGGTCACGCGGGTGCCATAGCGCAGGTAGATGTCAGAGGGGGAGTCAAATCTTTCCTTCCACCATGTGGGTCCCTGGTGAAATCCTCGACAAACTCTGTTCATCAGTCTTGTTGGCTAGAACCTTTACCCGCTGAGCCATCTCTCAGGTCTCTGGAACCTGGTTTTCAGTTTTCACAATCTTGCTCGTTTCAAGTTTGCCTACATAAATAGGGAGAAAAGGAGGAAAGGACAGAGGGAGAAAAGGAGGAAAGGACATCCCAGCAAGCTCATTCAGCAGGGAGGGTTGGGACTGGGGGAGAAACAAAGTGCTTTCTCTGAAGTCTATTTTTTATGGAGAATATCCATGTATGTGTTATGTTAATCATTAATACAATCTGTTGACAGGGAAATAATAATAATAAAAAGGAGCTAGTGTTCCAAGACACAGTGACAGACTGGGAAACCTCTGATAAGTCCAGAGAACAAGGGAGACCGGGTGGGAAGGTTATTAGAATGGGGAAATCTAAGATTATTTTGGAAGAAAGTTTATTGGCCTTTCACCTACTTTTAAAAGTCAACAATCCCTAGTTGGCAGCTATCAAAACTAGTCTGAAGGTCACAGTTGATAGCTCTGTACTTCTAAGAAAGATGGAGTAGGCTGTTTCCTTGGATTGGTTCTGCTCCTGAAACAGGCTTCCCTGAGCAGTGTTATCCTTAAACAAGGCCCCTCAACACCCTATTTTTGTGGGATGTGACAAGAATGACTCCATCTTTGAATTTTCACAAAATGAATCTATATAAAAATGAAACAAAAAGTCAAACCTAAGCTATATTTAGATTCCCCTTCTAGAGGTATCCACCCCTGTCCCCCAAGCTTTTGTTTTGTTTTAACATTTTTTTCAGTGACCCTCTAAGGGGGAAAAATAAGTTAAGAAAATTATGCCTGTAACTTCAGCTCCTGGGGGATGAGTCATTTGGCAACTCTTCTGGCTTTGGTGGGTAACTGCAGGCACAAGCACATACCCCCCCCCCCCGCACCCCCCTCCCCAAATACACATAATTTAAAATAAAAATTTAAAGTTAAAAAATCCTAAACTAAAAATAAGATTTTTTTGTCAGGTATAAAAATTAATCTACCAATAGTTAACCACCCCCACCCCTCAGTTTGATGGTGTATGTAGGGAATCCAGGAAATGCTGTGGGAATATAAAGATAAGCATCTTTCCAAGCTTATCCTTGAAAAACAAGACAAGTTTTTACCAAACTGACTTTATATAATAGTTAAAGTGCCATCTGTAAAGCTTTTGTATGAATTTGAGGGTTTTTTCATTTCGTTTTGTTTTTGGTCTTTTTGAGACAGGGTCTCCCTGTAGCCCCAGCTATCCTGGAACTCACTATGTAGACCAGGCTGGCCTTGAACTCACAGAGATCCACCTGCCTCTGCCTCCCGAGTGCTGGGACTAAAGGCGTGTGCTACCACACCCAGTTGAATTTGAGTTTTAAAAACTTTATTATTTATTTATTCTTACTGTGAGGGAGTGTGTACATATGCTACCATGAGCATGTAGCGGTCAGAGGAGCACTGTGGTATGGCTCTCTCCTTCCCTCTTTACTGAATTTATGTGCTGTAAATTGTCAGATATAATGTGAACTAAAATAGCAAGTCAAGGTTTTCATTATCAGTGGAAGGAAAGGAAATCAGAAGGTTAGTAAGATCAAATCAAATAAACTTTAATTTGACCTATGTAGTAATCTGTTTCTTGAACATAGGAATTGTAAAGCTCAAATGTGGTATTTTTAGCCTTATATGCATCCTCTACCAGTCAGGAGGTTGATTAAATGCTTTTAAATAAGGGCTGGAAAGATGGCTCGAGTGGTTAAGAACACTGGCTGCTCTTGTATAGGACCCAGGTTCAATTCCCAGTGCCCACATGGCATCTAACAACAACATCCGAAACTCCAGTTTCAGGGGATCTTAGGCCCCCTTCTGACCTCCTCAGGCACTGCATGAGACCGGTGCATCTACCTACATGCAGGTAATACACTCATACACACAAAAAATGAAAATAAAAATTTAAAATAAAAAAATACTTTTAAATACATTTAGAATGTTTTTATGCAACTATTTGATCCTTCAAAAACCTCAAGTTTCCTGTATAGATTAACACTAAATAAATAAAAGTTCATGGTGGAGCCTTTGGAACATTATTCTTGGGTGTTGAAAAATTTACCAGCCTACTTATGCAAACTTCCTGATTCAGCATCTTTTTTAAAAATGCAAAAAGAAATTATTTTATGTGTGTGAGTGTTATGTCTGCATGTTTGTAAGTGCACCTGAGTTGTGCAATGCCCTTGGAAGACAGAAGAGGGTGTCATAGCCCCTGGCGCTGGAGTTATGGACAGTTGTTAGCCTCCATGTGGATTCTGGGATTCGAAACAGGGTCTTTTGCAAGAACGGCTAGTGCTCTTAACCACTGAGCCATCTCTCTAGGCCCCTGATTCATCATCTTAATGGAGCAGTTCTGGAGGTGGTTCTGCAGTGTTAAGTAAATCTGCTGTTTATGAAGGAAAAGATTATTGAAGGGTGCCTGGATTATTGTGCTGTGGCTGAAGGATACAGAGGGAAAACCAGCTTTGTCAGTTGATGCTAAAAGACATGATGAAGAGTGAGACATAACCAGATCTGCACATTTGCCTTTCAATATGGTTTTTCCTGATTCTGAAATCAAATCATACTTTCTGGATAGATTTTGAATACTTAAAACTAACCAAACAGAAAAATCACCCATAATCCCATTTTGTAGAGATAATAACCAAAGTACAGGAGAGACTCTGAAGATCTTGGATTTGAGTCGTAACTGTACTATTAACTATTATTTTTAAAGGTAGATTACATGACCTTTTGTGGCTTTAGTTTCCTCATGTATGAACTGAGGAAGACAAGAGAATTGACATAAGACTTTGTTGTGAGCGAAGTCTACAGGGGACATTGCCATGTTTATTAATGTTATTTCCTTCTAGTCTTTTTCTGAACATATTTATTTACTTACTTATTGAGACAGGTTGGCCTCATACTTGCTATGTGTTTGAGGCTCACCTTGACTTTTAACCTTCCTGCCTCTTCCCTCAAAGTACTGAGATTAGAGGTGTGTGAAACTACACCTAGCTTTTTGTACAGCGCTGGAGATCAAACCAGGTCTTTATGCATACTAGACAAGCACAGTACCAACTGAGCTATAGCCTACAGGTCTAAACATTGATTGACTGACTGATTGATTGGTTGATTGATTGGTTTATTTATTTATTTATTTATTTATTTATTTATTTATTTATTTATGGTCTTTTTGAGGCTCCAGCTGTAGCTCCAGCTGGCCTGGAACTCACTATGTGGACCTGGCTGGCCTTGAACTCAAAGAGATCTGCCTGCCACTGCCTTCAGAGAGCTGGGATTAAAGGCGTGATTTTATGTGTGGGTATGTGTATGAGTGGTGTGTGTGTGTGTGTGTATGTGTGGTGTATGCACTTGTGTGTTTGTGCATGGAAGCCAGAGAAGGGCCTTGGACATTCTACCACTCTCTACTTAATTCCTTTAGGCAGGGTCCCTTGCTGAATCTGAGTTCACATTTTTTAGCAAGGCTGGCCCATAAGCCCCAGCAATCCTCCTGTTTCAGCCTGGTTGGTGCTGGGGTTTACAGGCCATCCTGGGAATGCCCAGCTTATGATATGGGTCCTGGGATCCTGCTGAGTCATGTCTCCAGCTCCTAAACATTTTTTTTTTTACTTGTAGTTAAGAACATACTGTATATCCTTTAATTAAAAAATATTTTATTTATTTTTATTTTATGTGTATGTGTGTATTGTGTGCATGTGGGTAAGTACACCTGTGTTGTGCAATGCCTGTGGAAGACAGAAGAAGCTGTCAGATCCCTTGGAACTGCAGTTACGGACAGTTGTTAGCTGCCATCTGGGTGGTGGAATTTGAACCAAGGTCTTCTGCAAGAACAGTCACTGTTCCTAACCACTGAGCCATCTCTCCAGCCCCTAAGAGCATACTGTATATACTTTTAACTGAAGATTACAACATAAGTACTTTCTTATGTAATTTCAGTTTAAGTCATTGACCACAATTCTAATTTTTTTGGGGGGGGCTAAATTTGTAGCTATCCCGGATTAACTGATTAAAGCTTATATTGCTTACAGAAATATTCTAGCAGGAAATGATAGGTTCTGCAGTTTTGATTTGCAACCATGATTTCATGGGGGAATGTTACATATATTTCCTGGTATAATGATTATGCTTAACAGAAGCTCAGAGGATAAATAGGCAACATACAAGGGTGTCACAGGAGAGGCTTCAGAGCTCATCAGCCCTTGTTTGAATTTGATCCTGCAACTTTGTCAATGTTTATAACCTCTCTGAGCCTTTCCTATACAGTAGGGTAAAAACAGTACCTATTTCATGTGGCTGTGGTGATTAGTTTGTTTTCTAATCCTGACCATGGTAACCACTAAATGAATGTTCTTACTGTTTGTTTTGTTATACACTTAAAGTTTGTTTTTACAATTAAAATGTGAGGGAATGGTGATTTTTTTTTTTTTTTTTTTTTTTTTTTTTTTTTGTCTTTTTTGAGGCAGGGACTCCTTGTAGCCCCAGCTGTCCTGGGACTCACTATGTAGACCAGGCTGGCCTCGAACTCACAAAGATCAGCCTGCCTGATTTTTACAAGTAATTGGTCATAAACTGAAAATACAAAATTGAGCAAAAGGAATAAATTTTAGTTTAAGATGAATTGTTTGCCCTTCATTTTAAATATAGTACGAATAATTTATCTCCTCTAAGTTTTAAGAGGCATTTGACAAGTTTTATAGACTTTTGAAATCATTTTCTTCAGTAATGCAATGACATATATATTTTTAAAAGATTTTTATCTAGATTTTTCTTTTTCTTTCATAAAGTAGTGTTATGTATCTCAGACTGATATTGAACTTGTGATCCTCCTGCCTCAGCCTCTTGAATGGCTGGGATTACTGGTATGTGCCACTTCATCTGGCTCAAATTATTCTCTCTCTCTCTCTCTCTCTCTCTCTCTCTCTCTCTCTCTCTCATTTTTTTGTGACAGGGTCTCCTAGCTCCAGTTTGCCTAGTGCTCTATATGTAGACCAGACTGCCTCGACCTCACAGAGATCTACCTCTCTGCCTCTCAAGTCCTGGAATTAAGTGTAGCTCAAATTATTCTTTTAAGAGACAAAAATGCTTCAGTTTGGGGGTGGGGGTGAGAAAGGGCCTCATATAACCAGCCCTAGACCCCAACTTGCTTTGTAACCTTGAGCTCCTGATCCTCCTGCTTCTATCTCCCAAGTGCTGGGATTACAGGTGTGCACTACCAAGCCCAGTTATATTAGCTTTTTAAAACGTGAACTTAAGCATAACACCTACAAATGGTAATGCTGCCTCTTATACCAGAGTCCTCACCTATGCTGTGTAGGTGAGGACTCTGTAAAATACTGTAGTCATTTTACTTATATTAACTCATGAAACTCCTACAATGTCCCATCAAGGTGCTTTTGTTGTTCTCATTTTATAGATGAAGAAACTGAGGAACAAAGAAGTTAAAGAGCTTGCTGCTGGTTATATGAATAGGAGGGACAGTCTTCCCTCTATGGTCTAAGATCTGGATCCAGTGCTTTTTAACCACTTCCTTATGTTCCTTAATATTCAGAAGAATAATAACTGATTATGTACAATAATTATACATGTACAGTGAGAAATAGGTTAAATTTCATGTATTTTGTAAATATACAAGTGCAAATTTCAATTTATTTTTCTTTTTTAGTTTTTCAGTTATGGAACAAAAATACTGTATCAGAGCATCAACGCTCCACAGTCTAAGTTCTTCCCACCCCTTCTAAAGCCTATGCTACCACCTGATGCCTTTCAAGGAAAAGTGGCGTTCATTACTGGAGGAGGTACTGGCCTTGGCAAAGCAATGACAACCTTCCTGTCCAGCCTGGGTGCACAGTGTGTGATAGCCAGCCGGTAAGCTGATCTTAAGGGGTCAGTGGAGAGTCTTCTGAAGAACCTGTGTGTGCCTCAGTAGTAAAACCACTGTTTCGGGACTGGAGAGGTGGTTAAGAGCACTGGTTGCTCTTGAGAAGACCCAAGTTCAATTCCTAGCATCCACATGGTGGCTAACAACCATCTGTAAATCCAGTTCTGGGGATACAGTACGCTCTTCTGATCTCCAAGGGCATTGCATGACATGAGTGCACTTACCCACATCCAGGCAATACACTCATGCACATAATGTAAAAATAAAAAAATATAGAGTAAGCAAATGCTGTGAGGGTGCTCAATTGCATCATATATGAAATATTCTGTAGATTGATTAAATACATCTCTTTGGAAAAAGTCAGTTACAATTGAGATACAAAAATAATGATAATTATGGACCTGGTAATGTTTGCATTTCTCAATGTAGCAGAACCTTTTCCCCATATAAAGTGATGAACTTTATTGAAGGGTTTAGGATGTAGTTCAGTTGGTAGTATTCTTGTCTAACATGCAGGAGGCTCTGGGTTTTATCCCCAGTTCTACATAAACCAGGCCTGGTGGTATATGTCTTTAATTCGAGCACATTCAATGTAGCTGCAAGGGGTTCAGAAATTCAAGGCCATACTCAGCTATATAGCAAGTTGAAAGCCAGCCTGGGAGAAGGAGAGCTACTCTCAAACAAATGATACCCGAACAAAGTAAAAAAAAACAACAAAAATGTACCATATTGAAGCCTTGTTGTTAATGGGTATAATTACGATTCTTTTTTTTTTCCTTTTGGTCTTTTTGAGACAGGGTCCCCCTGTAGCCCCAGCTGTCCTGGAACTCACTATGTAGACCAGGCTGGCTTTGAACTCACAGAGATCCACCTGCCTCTGCCTCCCGAGTGCTGGGATTAAAGCCATGCGCCACCACGCCTGGCTATATTATTATTGCTTCTATTGATAATTAGCTGCATGCCAGGAATTGGATTTCAAAATATCTATTATAGTGAATACAGGAAGGGTAAAGCCATATAGGAAGTCTTTCTTATTTAGGCATATCCTAGTTCTTGTTAGCTATGCAAATTGGGGCTTTAGAGACTTGTCAAAAAAATTTGCCCCTTCCTACAATTTTGGATGATGTAAAATTTTAAGTGTATCAAGTACTTACATGAATGGTGGTCATTATGTCATTTACAAATGCCAGTTGGCCATTGCAGTTGTTAAAATCACAGTGTTTCTAAGAGTTTTAAAATATTTTCATTTTAATACTTAGTTTATAGTCACGGTTTGTTTTGTGTTTCTTTCAAGGATATAAGACTGAACATGCATAAGTTATCCAAATCCATAAATTGAGTCTGAAACCTACAAATTTATTAAAACATGAATATATTTTTCCATGCAACTGGATTGCACAAAAGAATGAATGCAATTATTATAATCAAATAAACAATTTAAATAGATGAGTAAGTCACTTGTAATCCCAGCACTTGGGAGATACAGGCAGGAGGATCAGGAGTTCAAGGTCATTGCCCAGTACATAGGTAGTTCAAGACCAACATCTGCTACATGAGACCCTGTCTCAAAAACAAACCAAAACAAAAAAACCTCTGAAATGAATTGATAAGTAGATAATGTGAAAGTAGCTAATAAAAATGTGGCTAATTTGGTGATTAGTGTTAGATATATAAAAATTGTTGAATTTAACTTTTAAAATATTTATTATTCTTAAATATTTTACTTATTATTTTTTGTGTGTATAAGTACATTACCTGCATGTGTATAAGTACACCCATGTCGTGCAATGCTTGAGGAGGTCAGAAGAGGGTCATTCCCCTGGAACTGGAATTACCAGCCATGTGTGTACTGGGAATCGAACCTAGGTCCTCTACAAGAGCAGCCAGTCTCTTAACCACTGAGCCATCTCTCCAGCCTCTTGAATTTAACTTTTAAAGAATGAATTAATTCACATAGATTTGCATGTCAGTATAATGTTCATATTTTCTCAGAAATGCTTTTCTGTGAGCTGTTGTCTCTGTTCTTTAACTTATGAAATTGAAAAGAAAAATATTATATGAAAGAATTTCAGAACTCATTCAAAGTTCCCTATGTTTATTTCTAGGAATATTGATGTTTTGAAAGCTACTGCAGAACAGATTTCTTCTCAGACTGGAAATAAGGTACATTGAGAAGCAGCCACTTAAATCAGATTTAAGAATCATAATGTAGTTATATAATTTGCTTATGTTTTGGGTTAGGAAGCCTAGAAATCACAGGGTTCTTTTTTCTCTTTGTTTTTTTGCAGGTTCATGCGATTCAGTGTGATGTGAGGGATCCTGATAAGGTGCATAACACTGTGCTGGAGCTGATCAGAGTTGCAGGGCATCCTGATGTAAGTGTAATGGGGCTGAAGCCAAGCACAAGGTCTTTGATGTTGAAAGTACCATGCACAAAGGAAATGCACTACTGATACCAGCGAGAGCTGGGCTGAACAGTGCTTACTTTCTTTCCCTGGGATGATGGCAGCTCTGCTTAAAACAGAGAAAAGAGTAGATGGATTATTACACTATTACCTCACAGGAATACTTAAAAAACACATTTATAACTATGGAACAAACATAATTTCACTTTATTTAATAAGATTATAAAACAATGAGAGCAGCTATCGCAGAGCACAGTGTCTAGTTTAAATGATTGATTGGCTTTGCTTTGCTTTTCTGAACAACTTTCACTTGTCCCTCAGTGGAGGAGAATACTACAAACTAAACTACAGGAAATCCCATAGTTCTCCACCCCAGCCCTGAGAGGTAAATGGTGTTTTACTGTTACTTGGTTTATTTATTAGAGAGAAACCATTGCATCCAGAAGTCCCAAATAGAGCACTTTCCTATGTTAAAGGTATTTTCAGAAAAAAATCAATACTACTGAATCTGCTATTGAATTCAGCAGAACCTTTACTGGCGATGAAGAAGCAGGCCACCAGAGAATTTCTGTAACTTGAGATAAAAGGACAGCAAAATTTAAAAGGTTCTGTGTGGAGGCTAGGGTGGGTAGAGGCTGGGACAGGTCTCTTTCTGCATGTAGCACAGGCTGATGTGGAGCTTTTTGTATAGCTCAGGCTGTCCTTTAATTCTCAGTCTTCTTGTCTCAGCCTTCCAAATACTGGGTTTGCAAGTGTGCAAAAACATACTAGACTCAGAAGACTTTTCTTGTCATTACTTGAAGTGAAGTGTGGTTACATAGTAAATATGTTTAATCCACATTTCTTTACTTTAATAGAGTCTACTGTAATTTAAAGACAGAGGTTAGAATTCTGAGATTGGAAAATAACAGGATATTTTTACAGACCTGAGAACATAAAACTGAACCAATCTCATGGACTTGTTTCATACCTGATTACGAACTTAGCTGTGTTATATTATTTGGAGTGCTTCAGGTATGAAAGCCTTGCAGAGTAAATATTCTTCATCATCAGAAAGTTTCTAGAACTTGCCTTATTCGTTTATTAGGTCGTGATAAACAATGCGGCAGGGAATTTTATTTCTCCCAGTGAAAGACTCTCTCCTAATGGTTGGAAGACCATAACTGATATAGTTCTAAATGGCACTGCCTATGTGACTCTAGAAGTTGGAAAGCAGCTGATCAAAGCACAGAAAGGTATGTTCATTCATTCTTCAGTATTTGGGGCATTCCCTGAGCTGATTTTGTGCTAATAAGGATGTAAATGAAACAGTCTGTACTTGTACAACTCACAATGTAATGGTAAATGTTGACCAAAAGTTATGGTATAAGTACTAATAGATACATGTTCAAGGACATTTGGGAACCTAGAGACAGGAACGACTACTTCTTCCTACATTCAGCGATCAGATTCAGGAATGAGATGCAACTGAGATTTTTTTTTTAAATCTGTGTTTAGAGAAAGGAAAGGAAAAGGAAATGTGAACATCTTTGGTGGAAGGGAGGGGCAGAAGTCTTTAGGGAATGATGAGGAATTTGATGGAGATAAAGAAGGGGAGTGAAAGGGCAGGAAATGACTCTGAGGTAGTGTGTTGAGGTGTAACTGGGAAAGTCCCCAGTACCAAAATAGGGTGTTAGATGTTTATCAAGGTTGTTGTGCTGGTTAGTGTTTGTAAACGTGACATCAACTAGAGTCACTTGGGAAGAGGGAACCTCAACTGAATAATTTCCCAGGTCAGACTGGCCTGTGGTCATGTCTGTGAGGTGTTTTCTTAATCACTGGCTGTGCAGTATTATCCATAGGCAGGTAGGCCTGGGCTGTGTAAGAAGTGTAGCTGAGCAAGCCAGAGGAAGCAAGACAGTAAGCAGCATTCCTCATGGTCTCTTCTTCATTTCCTGCCTCTAAGTTCCTGCCTTGAGCTCCTGCCCCGGCTTCCCTAGATGATGGACTGTAGCTAAGATGTACTAAAACCTTTCCTCCTCAAGTTGGTTTTGGTCAGTGTGTATCATAGTAACAGAAAGCAAAGTAGAACAGTTGTCTTATGAAGAATAGTGATTTGATAAAAAAGATTACTGACAACATTGTAGGGGTGGAGAAGTATGATTTTTTTTTTTTCTCTTTCCCGTATGGAAAGAGGGCATGGGTGGTAAAGTAGGAGGGGTTTAGAAGCTGAGGGCAGCAGACCTAATTGTCTGTGGAAGTGTTTTTATTAACTGGGCAAACAGTTTGAATTAAGATGGCATCACTGAGACTGAGAATACTAAAGAGAGAATAGATTTATTTGGAAGCTACTAGAACATTTTTGTTTTAACTATGAACAAATTTCTTTATTAAGGTTTATGTCTATATAAACGGTAAATGCATGATGCCTCTGTGTGTGTATACATATGTGCATAGAGCTAGGGCACTTTATTCATTTACCAGACACTTACTGCTGACTTTTATATACTTGACTCCATTCCATGCCTGAAGCAGAGGTGGAGAAGATCGTGTCCCTGAGTAAGTGGGAGTCAGGACCTGAAGCACAGGGCATTTCCTCAGAGTGGGTAGAGTTCTGAACAAGGCCAAGGAGCCTCAGTGGCTGGAGGGGAAGAAGGAGGCTGTGGGTCTGGTCCTGTTCCCTCTCTAGTTCAGAAGTCATTGTGAGTGTCAATATCTTCCCAGCATGGCTAATTCACAGGCAGTTTGGGAAGGGAACTACAAACAGATGGGAGGTGAGGAGGTTGATAGACAGGTGCAGCTTTTTTTTCATGCTAGAAATTTCCGTCCTTTCTGGGTACACTCAGCACAATCCCTGGTTGCTCATCTCCCTAAAAGTAGACGTGGTTTAGATTTGGTGTCTTGTGCCACATTTGCTTGTTGGTTTCCAGGATGGATGGATAGAATTGGAAAGAGAGTTGAAGAGTGGACTGACTCCACTTCCTTGGTGTTGATATTTGTGTCTCTCATCTGTTCTGTTGGCTGTGTGTGATTTTCTCCCTCAGCTCTTGATCCGGTCCCTGTTTCTTTCTCTCCCCTGCCTTTGTAGGCTCATCATTTTTGGTTCTCTCTTTTTCTTTCTCTTTGTTTCTTTGACCTTCTTGTCTTTCTTTGTCCTGTTATCTCGTATTTCCTCCTTTGCTCATTTGGGAGTCTTAGATTTCTGACTGACACCCTTCTTTTCTCATTATTGTCTTCCGTTTTAACCTAGCTCAGTCTATTTTTACTCATCACAGTGGATTAAAATTCTATGGGCTTCATTAAAAATGTATTAGGTAAGACTTTTTCATAGGAAGAAGCCAGTTTCTATTTTTTTCAAGTTTCTTGTCAGTTGATGCCGTCACCTGACAGAGTTTGAGCCCTGGGCTAGAGAGAGTGCAATACAGTAGTTATTGTGGGTATGAGTAGAAACAAAAAAGCAGTGAAAGACATGTGATTAGTGAGATTGACAGAGAAAAAGTAAATAGAAAGATTTGACATTAGGGACATCGAATGGAAGAGACGAGACAGTTTTAACTAAAGGTAAAATAAAAAAGAGAGAGGTTGAGAAATGTAATCAGATAACCCTAAAGACTACCTTCTGTCAGGAAGCTGAGACATGGAGATCTCACAATCTTGTTGGCCTGTGTTCTTTGAAAAAGGCCTATTAAAATGAAAATGAAAATATAAAGAAGTAAGGGCAGGTGAGATGGCTCAGTGGGTAAAGGTGCTGGCTGCCAAACCTAAAGACCCAAGATCAGTCCCTGAGCCCCGCATGGTGGAAGGAGAGAAACAGCTCCTTCAAATTGTCTTCTGACTGCCATACATGTGCCGTGCATGGCATGCACGCACACACACACACACACACACACACACACACACACACACACACATGCACGCAGTAAATAACTAAATAAATGTGAAATAATTTTTAAGGAAAAAAATGTCAAGAATGGAGGAGGAGGAAAGAGAAGGAAGAAGAGGAAGAAGGAGAAAGAGAAGCAAAAAACAGAAAGAGAAGAGGAGATCTGGACAGAGCTGGCTTGCTAAATGGACACTGCTATTAAATAAAGGAGGAATAAATGTGAGAGGAGAGAACTGGAATGGTAGAGTCTAGAATCTGAAAGTAATTTCCCTGTGTGCTGCCTAGGGATTGACTCTCTTGATGGTCCTTCCTGAGCTATTCAGATGCCTACCACACCCCTGGGCAGTTGTTTGCATGGTCTGTCATTGATGATACCACTGCCAGTGGTCTGTCCTGCACAGATCTGGTCATAGATGCTGGTTACACCTCTGGCTCATTCTTTAGGCATCAGATTGCAAATGCTGTTCACACCTTAGGCAATCCTTTGAACGTTTAGGTCACAGATGCTAGTCACACATCTGGGTGGTCCTTCATGACTCCAGATGTGAATGCTATACCTTTCCCATGTTGTCACTTAGAACCTGAATCTATATTCCCCCAAAGACACTGACTTTGTCCAGGTTGCCACCTTACTGAATGCTGTGTGGTTTTAATTCAAAGCTCCTACAAGCTAGTGGTGGTCTGCTGTCTAGGTTTCAGTGTGTAGACCATGACACTCTGAGTTTCCCCAAAAGTGCTGTTCACAGAAGGTCTGGGGCCTACCAAGTCCCTGACTTAGCAGGGGGGTCTTTCAGATGGCCTCTCATCACTGCCAGTGTTGAGAGTTGAATGCAAGAAGAGGTTTTCCTGAAGCTTCTCCTCGTTCTGCCAAATGTAACTTTTGCCTCTTCAACCCCTAGGCATCAGTTTCTGAGAGTTCACTACTGATTTTCCTAGGTTTTCTGTCTTAAATGTGGCTCTGGTCATTCCTTCTCACTTCTCAGGGAGCTCACCAATGAAAAGGTGTGGGGAGATGGCTTAGTGGTTAAGAGCTCTTACTGTTCTTGCAAAGAATCTGAGTTTGGATTTCAACACCTATGCCAGATGGCTCACAACTGCCTGTAACTCCAGCTCCAGGGATCTGATGTCCTCTTCTGGTTTCTGCAAACACTTGTGCTCAAGTGTACATACTCCCCCCCACCCCCACATACACATACACACATAATTTAAAATAAAAGAAAATTCTTACTTTAAAATTTCATTTATTATTTTTATTTTGTGTGTATGAGTGTTGTACCTGCATGTAGGTAAGTTCACCTGTGTTATGCAGTGCCCGAGGAGGACAGAAGAGGCTGTCAGATCCCCTAGAACTGGAGTTATGGACAGTTGTTAGCTGCCATGTGGGTGCTGGGATTTGAACCTGGGTCTTCTGTAAGAACGGTGTTCTTAACTGCTGAGCCATCTCTCTAGCCCCCATAAAAGAAAATTCTTAAAAAAAGAAAATCTTTACAGAATGAACTCTGGGTTTTCCCCCATTCTGCTTTGTAATTTTATTTTACTTTGTTAATGGGTTAGAGATTTTCAGCTGTCACCCAGCTTTTCTGGTAGCTGTTCTCCAATATTCAGTTTGGTTTTCCCCCAGAGATTCTAGCAGACTGCCTGTGTATAGCCAACCATCTTCTAAGAAACTATGAATTTGTTTTACTAAAATATTTTTTAGGCTTACTTTTTTGGCTTCCAGCCATTATTTTTCATTGAGCATCTAAGAGCCATTTATGTGTTGTTCAGGGATCAGCCAGGGTTTGAAGGGAATTTGTATGTAGACGTTGCTTCCTCCTTGCAGACTCTCCTGCCAACCCTCATTCTCTTCAGTCCTGCCTTTGAAACTGATATTATGTCTAACCCAAATCCAACTTAGGCCTCTCTTGCCACTGTCAAAGACATTAGCCCAGTGTTCAACATAGTCACACTCTTCATATTTGCACATCTCTCAGAATCTTTAACAATGTAATATTCCGCTTAAAATGTTGCCCATGTATACCTTTTTGTCTCTAAAAAAATCCATTTGACTGTTTCTTATACTCAATTTTTGTTTCTTTTTACATGTATCAGTTTAAAAAATATGTAGTAGTTAGCAGGAAACATTGTGGAAGAGGAGGTGGAAAGAATGTTAGAACTGGGAAATAGGGAGAATGGCTTCAAAGTGCTGTCTTCTGGGCATGACATTACAACCATATCTCACAGCAGCTAAGACTGTCAACACCGGGGCTGCACAAGACTAAACTAAACTTGTCAGTAGTCAGTCATGGATCTGGGAGGTGCTTACAGAACTCTACCGAACGCTTCACTACTGATGGATTCTGGAGGAGGCGCAGTCGTTGTATTCACCTGTATGCCTACTGATGAGACCACCTGGCTCCAATGGATAGTTCCAAATTCATGGTCACACCGAAGTCACTGCTATATTGAGTATTACTCCTTGTTGGAGGAATCATTTTCTCTCATTCCACAGACTGTCTTTAACTCTGTTGTTTGCTTTGTTGAGCAGAAGTTTCTTAGTTTGACTCTTTGTTCTTGCAGCCTGTGCTGTTAGGAACCAACTCCCAAAAGCTGTGTCCACACGTGTGTCACAAAGTGTTTTCTCTTTGCTTTGTTCTAGCTGTTTTACATCTAGGCCCTTCAATGGGTTTTGAGTAGATTTTGTACCTGGTGAGAGACAGGTTCTAGCTTCATTCTTCTGCATGTGGATGTCACATTTTCCTGGGCTCTTTGTTACACAGACTCCTCTCCATTTGTTAAAATCAGCCAACCATTATGTTTGTAGACTTATTTCTGGGTTCTGTTTTGTGTCATTGGTCTTTGTTTTGGTGTTTAAAACCTAACCTTTATTTTGCTGCTCCTTTTTCCCATGTTTTTGACCTGACTAAATAACACAAATCCATTCTATTGTCGACATTGGGCTGTTAGAAACATGCCTCTTATAAACCCTCCTCAGTGACCGTTCTGATAACTGGCTTTCCTACACTGGGCACAGTGTCTGTGTGGCTCATCTGGGGATCTGGAGGTTCTTCCCTCTGAACTTCTAACACCACTGCCATTTTTGAAGTTCAGCTGCTAATTGCTTTACCAGGAAACATTCATTCTTGTCATAATGATGCAATTTCGTTTTCACCTCTGTCTCATTCAGGCAAAAGAAAGAACAATATTCCATTCTAAGCAGTGGGCTTTCCAACTTTTCTAGGCTGAGAAACTAAAACTGAGAGGGGAAAGGGAAGAGCGAGTACAGCGTCTTTCACCTCCAGCAGCATCCGAATTATGTTGTAATGGTAGCTCCTCTTCTGTGCTTGGAAAAACATCTGTTTAACCATAATTGAAGATCGCATGCTTTCTTTTGGAGCATTTGCCTTGTACAGATGGTTGCCACTGTTCAAGTAGGATGTTATCTGTAAGAGTAACACCACTTGGCATTCTGGTCCATGTCCTGTAGGAGCCACTAAAGCTCCACGTCCTTGTCTTTTACACAGGAGCATTTTGAAAGCAAGCTGTTCCAGAGATCTGGGAGGCTGAGTTTGATGTATAGAAGGAGTTGCCAGAATGACTAAGATAATCACTCTCATCTCCTCACAGTAGCACTCAGCACCTCCTCCACTCACGTTCTCCAGACTCTGCTGCACTTTGTTTCTAGCCTCAGAAATACTGAACGAAGGAAACCAAGTGCAGAGGAGAGGAACAATTTATCTCAGTGTTCTTCAAAATACTTTCCTTGTCTTAAATCTCTTCCTTCTCACCTCCCTCCTGTTGTTTTGAGACAGGGTGTTATTATGCAGCACAGACTGCCCCTGAGCTTCTCCCTCAGCCTTGTAAATGCTGGAATCACAGGTGTGCACCACCACACTGGGCTTTCAAATTTAAAGTAAGTATGCTATGTGATTATTAAATTTAATAGTCTTTTCTTATATGATGTTATATCCATGTAAGTAGAAAGTAACTGATTTCTTGCAACCTGGAATAGTCTTCAAATTTTGTAGTCATTCTATTTATTGAGAACCTACTATGTTATATCCCAAGCTCTGTTAATACTTATATGTCTAGCTCTACGTTTTACCATACCTTTATACAGTCACTTTTTAAAAATTTATTTCATTATTTACGTGTATGTGTATATGTCTGTGTGTATGTTCACATGTGTGTGGGTGTCCATGGAGGCCAGAATTGGGCATCATATTCCCAAGGACTGGAGTTATAGGCTGTTTTAAGCTGTTGGACGTGGGTGCTGGGAGCTGATTCCAGTCCTCTGCAAGAGTCATAAGAGCTCGTAACTGCTGAACTATCTCTCCAGTCCTCTGTTATTTTAGCAGAAATTTAAGAAACAAGAAAGCGTTTTCTGTTTAGCCCTGTACTTATCACTTCTGATATGTCATCCTTCTCAGCATCTGAGTTTCTGTCTAGTCTCATTTTCATTTAGCCTTAAAACTCTAAATTCCATCTGGTGCAGGTCTAGGGGCAGCGAATTCTCTCTGCACTGGTGTATCAGGAAATACCACATTGAGTTTTGAAGGACTTTTTTGCGTATATAGAATTCAAAATGGACAGGGTTTTTGTTTCAGAACCTTGAAGTGTCTGTTACTGTCTTCTGTGTGGTTTCTGAAGGGAGCTGGGGTGAGAGTTTTACCTATGCTCCCTCTTTCCAATGGTTCCTTCCCACCCAAACTGCTCCTGAGATTTCCTATTACTGACTTAAAGTGACTGATTAAAATATACCTCAGCGTTGTGCTTGTTTCTACAGTTTTTGCCTTCTATCTATATACTGCTTGGCATTTGTACAGCTCTCTGGAACTTTATAGTTTACCTAATTTGGAGGTTTTTTGTTTTTTTTGTTTTTTTTTTTCCAATTTATAGTTCTCAAGTGTTTTTCTTCTTTCTGGGAGTTCAATTGTAACGTGTGGTAGGAGACCAGATATTCCATAGTTACTTGAGGCTCTGGTTGTGGTTTTTTTGTTAGTTGTTTTCGCCTCTTGTTTATATTGTTTATATTGCTCTATTTTCTTCTTCTTTCAGAAGATCATTGTTCATAGATCTTCTGTAGCTCAGCTCATTCATTTGATTTTAAAATTTCAGTTCTGTTTTCTGTCATAGTTCTGTTTGTTCCTATTTATATATTTTCTATTCTCAGTATATTCATATTTTCTTTGACCTCTTTAACATTTTTACCTATTTATAATCTCATTTACCTACCTTAGCTTACCTACCTAATTGTATCCTCTCTGTCACTTTTTGAACTTTCTATTAATTGTTTTTTCTCCTGCTTATGCTTTCAACTCCTTTCATGTGTTGCAGTTTTTCAAAGCATGTCATGAAAGTTATGTTGCTTTTTCTGTTTTTTAAGTGTTCCTTTGAAGTGTGTTTTATTTTTAGTGAGCACACAATCATTTCAAAGTTCCCAGCACTCGGGAGGCAGAGGCAGGCAGATCTCTGTGAGTTCAAGGCCAGCTTGGTCTACATAGTGAGTTCCAGGCCAGCTGGGGCTACAGGGAGACCCTGTCTCAAAAAGACCCAAAAAAAAAAAAAAAAACTATTTGGATGATAATGTAACTTTTCCTTTGGCAATAGTTTAGTCCTCTTACTAAAGCATAATTTTTGTGAGCTCTCTACAGAAAGTCCTGGATGTTCTGTAATTTACTTATTACTCCCATATCTCTGGGCCCTCTGTGTCTGGATCTACTGTATCTTCAGAACCTGTGTCTCCAGAACTGTGTATCTCTGTGCCCTCTGTGAGATCTGGACGCACAATGTTCAGCTCATAGCTCCATAGCAAGTTGCTCTTTGCGTGACCCCATGGAAGTTTGCATGAACATGCACAGTGTGGTATCTGGCCACACTCATGGAGACTGTGAACATGAATGACACTGTTCCTGTATGCTTTCTCCTTGGAGGGGTTCTTTACTCCATTTCCTCAGCATCCCCATAGCTCAGTGTCATTTTCAGCCTGTAGTCCTCTTCATACCTCATTAGTTCTCTAGGCAAAAGTCTAAGATGATGTTAGGCTCAGGTCTCTTGGGAATAACTGTCCTCTGTGCTGTAAGGTGGCTGACAATGGTTGTATCATGTCTCCTGTTCAGTATTCTTGATGGTTATGAATCCATCATGGCTGGAGGCAGAAGTCCTCAGTCATTTTATTTTAATTCTTATTTCTTCGTATTGAAATGGTGCTTAGCTATAGGGAATCCTGTACAACTGATTATACAATGGTTATAGGGACAGAGCTCTGGGATTTGGAACCTTGTATTGACTCACCAGTTATAGAATTCTGGTACATACAGACTGGGCATGATTATTCTGTCTTTAATTGAGGCCTAGTAAACTTAAAAAAAGAAAAAAAAAAACCCTTCAGGTTTTATTATTCCCTCTTTAATTAGATAACTGTTCTTTAAAACAATAATTTTTAATTGAATTTTTATGAATGTCATACAATATATCTTGATCATATTTAGACCCCCTATCTGCACCACTCTTATAACCCCTGCTGGATTCCATGTACTCTGTCATATATATTAAGACCTATTGAGTTAAGTTCATATCCCTACATGTCCTTTGGTACATGTCCATGCCCTGGAGCCTGGTACTGTTACTCTGAGTCCTGGTTTCCTGGTGTGAACTGACATGGCTGCATTGTTAGTTAACTGTGTCCTTTGATTTCAGGAGCAGCGTTTCTTGCTATCACTACCATTTATGCTGAGAGTGGGTCGGGTTTTGTAATGCCGAGTTCTTCTGCCAAATCAGGCGTGGAAGCCATGCACAAGTGAGTACTGCTGTGTTAATCTTCTTGCTTAAAATACATGCAATCTTCATCCAGAGAAAGCCAAAGGGAAAATCTGGATTCAGTGTAAGACACTCTCTCCTGGATGAGTCCTGTTTGTCTGTTGTAGCACTGTCCAATAGTCTTTCTATAGATGGAATAGTCTATAAATCTTTTGAGGAGACATTAAAAGCATAATTACTTTATTCAGAAGCTGAGTCTTAATCTGAATAATTACTATTTTTAATGTTTGAAAGAACTATAAATAAAGCATTAGAACATGTCTATTTTGGTAGCATTTGTATTATATCTGTATTGCTTTGTTAAGATCTTTGAATCTTGTTGAGGGTGCAGTTTCATATTCTTTAAGGATTGTGGTTCTGTGCTATTACTCTGTATTCCTGCATGTACACTGCCCTTAATAGATGCTCAATAGATAATCAACCTTGTTTTATAGTACAGACTCCTAATTAACCCTCCTTTCATACTCAGTCCTACTAAGTTCTCAGATATTATCTGCTGTTTGTTCCTTGCCATACATGAGTTGCCTATATGCCTGAGCTGTCTTTCCTTCTCCATTCTACCATAGATAGTCACCCATTCCCATCTCCTGCCCCTTTCTATAGAAAGATCCTCATTTTTCTTTAAGTGCCAGATCCTCAAGGATGTCTGTCCTGCCTTCCTAGTTTGCTTAGGTCCCTCTTCTTTAAGCAGCCATGGAACACTTTACATTTTCTACTGTAGCTACTAGTTTATCATACATCCAACCTGATGTCCATCAAGGGAGAGATTGCTTTTTCGGAGAGCAGAGATCCTTGTGATTTTGAATGAAATAGTATTTACAGACTATTGTTAAAGATATTTTAAACATTGGTTGAATGAACAATAATGACTAATATATGAAGTGTATGGTGCTTAGCATCGTAACATGCAGAGTGGATTCCTTATCACATTAAAATAGTTCTTTATTATGCTGCTCAGCAAGAACTAATAGATCGTGCTGGCAGTGGAGCAAATTTATCTGGCACAGCTCGGAGCAGAGATAGGATGGCTTTTTCTTTAGGACAGTTTCCCTAAATAGATTGCTCAGTTTTCACAGCATGACATAATCTCTGTTTGACTGAGTCATTCGAAGATATGAAGCTACTGTTTTTCTAGTAATCTGAAGTAGGTCCCCTACATGTACATGTGCAAGGTGGGTGTATTAATTACTTTTCTGTTGCTGTGATAAAATACCAGAGTCGAAAGCAACTGAAAGAAGAGTTTATTTGGACTTACTGTTCCAGGGAGTTAGATGTCTAAAATGGTGGGTAATGTATGGGAGAATGAGCAGAAAGCTGGGAGATTTCAGCCCCACACAGAAAGCAGAGAGAGCGCAGGAAGAGGGTGAGCATAAAAACCTTCAGAGTGGCTCCCAGTGATGTACTTCTTCAGCAAGCCTCCACCACTTGAAGATTCCATTACTTCCCAAACAGTGCCACCAACAGGCAACCAAGTGTTCAAATATATGAGCTGGTGTGGGAGATTATTCATTCAAACTACAGCATCGAGTATGGCCGTGAACTTTGGCTGACAGAGATGCAGCAAACCCATTTTCCTAAACTGGACCTGTAGATTCATTAAATGGAGAGGCTGTGTTGGATCACATGTTCCTTGTGCCACAGGACTGGTTTTACTGAACTGGTATTTGATTGATGTTACCAAGCATATTCATGGGTATCTTATAGCTTCATTAAACTTATTAAATAGATAATTTTATCTATCGCAAAGCTACAGTGTCTGAAGGACATTATTATGTTACAAACTTTTCCTTTTATAACTTCTAGGAAGAAATGTTTTCCTGAATTTTATATCACAACTAGTTGAATTTTTCTATGGACACTGCACACTCTCTAATAGATTAAATTTAACAATTTCCACAGAGTGTCATGGAAAGAGTAGATAAATTAATAGCCTGTTTATTGTCATCATATGAGACATCTTAACATATTTACTATTAACTTCATTTTGGCCCCTTCCTATTTCCTTGCCTGCTTTTCCCCTTCCTGCCGTCTCTCCTTCCTGTGTTGTCTTCCACATCTGCATTATTTGTATCTTTTAATGTAACTTAAAAGGTTTTCAAAACTACATTAAGTATATATATGCACATATGTATATGAACATATGTACACATATATGTGCACATCCCAATAGGATCATAAAATAAGATTATGGTAAAAAAATAGGCTGTCTAGTACATTTCTAAAACTAGTGGCTTCAACATTCCATGTTTGCTATTAGTATTCTAATTTGTTTTAGGAAATTTACTAAGGTTTGGTTCAAATCCTGTTTCCTTTAAGGCTCATTTCTGCAATTACATTAAAGCCCAGTTAAACATGGTGTGGTTCATACTTTAGACCTGTGTAGTCTGTCTCTGATTCATTTGAAGTCTTTGTGAGGGAGGGAGGGATGGGCCTGAAGCTCTCCTGTTTTTATGTGTGTAATGAATACCTGCTGTAGAAATATATTGATTTCTTGTTCTACAGTGTAGATGGTAGCTAACATAGCACAGTAACTAAAGACACTAAAACGTGTTAAGTTGTATAGCAGAGTAAGGGTAGAAACATGGGCCAGACCCCTTGATGTTGACAGATCAGCTGTATGACTATGAGAAAATGGTTTAATCTTTCTGTGCCTCAGTTGCCTATCTGTACCATGAGGAGCAATAATAGCATTCACCCATTGGAGTATGATCCCTGGCAGGCAGTGAGTGTGCAGAGCCGTGTTCATGCTTTGACATAGAGTGCAATATTTTAGAATGTACTTTGTCTACTTTAATTTTTAGGTCTCTTGCAGCAGAATGGGGTAAATATGGACTGCGATTCAATATAATTCAGCCGGGGCCTATAAAAACCAAAGTAAGTTTCAGTTGACATATTTTTTAAAAATATTTTATTTTTATTTTATGTGTCCGAGTATATTGCCTGCATGTATGTAAGTACACTTGTGTTGTGTAGTATTCAAGGAGGTCAGAAAAGGGCATCAGATCCCCTGGAACTGGAGTTACAGATGATTGTTAGCCACCATGTGGGTGCTGAAAGCAAACCTGGGTCCTTTGCAAGAACAGCCAGTGCTCTTAACTGCAGAGTCACAGAGTCATCTTTCTAGCCTCTCAAGCCTCTCAGTTGACATAACATTGTGAATGATTAAAGAATGAACCAGTGAAGAATGTGTTCTGATTGCTGTATGAGGGACTGTCCATGGATGCCTGGGTTTGAAGCTTTGGTTGTAGGGAAAGGACCTTTGCCACTATCCAGCATGAGAAATGATAGGGCAGCTAGGGGCATAGCAGGTATGCAACGTCATGATAGGGTGTGTGGTAGTGTCTCTAACGTCTAGGGTATTGATGCTATCAGCTTTGACATTTTTCTGATTTGTTTCTGTTAGTATGTCTGTTATTGTCCTGCATTTCTTAATTTTTGCTCTGTTCTAAGTCTGATTTCTTTGACTAACATCCTTTTATTTTAAGTCATCAAAGGCAACTATATTCTTAGTTTAAGAGGTGTTCTAGAAATTTTTCAGGAAGTCCTGGTGGTGCCATAGGTAGCATTTTCTTTGACTCATGCCTGTGCCTTTCACTTTCTGTCAGTTACACCTGTCATCTGACTCCTACTCTCTGGCTGAAAATCCTTTTGGAGGCAGGTCTGTCACCAATGATTGATAGTCTTCCAGACATTGTAGCCCATAATAGTCACTAGTGCTGTTAGGGACATTGCTTAAATGTCCACACTTCTGCTCCCATGTTGTCTCCTGATGACTTCACTCTTCATAGCTTTTTGTTTTCATGTGAAGCCAGGATTTAAAATTGCTGGAATGTAGCTTTGAAAACTGAAGCCAATCGCATAAAAGCATTAGAAAGTACTATCAAGGCATATTGATTTCAGAAAATGGTGCTGAAATCTAGAACTTTCCTGGAAAGCAGTGATAGAATGAGAAATGGGACCAGTTGCTGCCATTGGTCTCTGCTGCTCTGAGGTCTGCTCTGTCTCATCTGTGTTACTGGAAAACCATCCCTAGACTTCGGAGCTTGAGAAGACATGGAATCAGCCTTTTTTATGAGTTGGTGAACATGCATCTCACCTTAGTGTGCTCTGTGCTTCTCAAACATAGAACAGAAATTGACCAATTTAATGATTGTTTTGTCTAAGATCAACTTGGAGTTACATTCATACATGCTTGTTTTACTTTTTCTATTATTTTGAGAAGAAAAGAAAAGGGACTTTTCTTAAATTTTTCCTACCTCAGTCCCTTTTCTGCATTTACTAAATGAAACGGCACTGCCCCACTACTAAGCCAGTGCATTTTAGAGTACGTCTGTGTGTATTGCTTGTTCATTTGAGGTGTACAGTGACCTGTTGAAACTGTAGAAATTAAGATCAGATACTAAGGTTAGCTGGGTTTGGGGGCACACATCTTTGACTCCAGTACTTGACAGGCAAGGACAGGTGGATCTCTGTGAGTTCAAGGCCAGCCTGTACCTAGTGAGTTTGAATTTCAGGTCAGGCAGGACTACATAGTGGGATCCTGTCAAAAACAAACAAACAAACAAACAAACAAACAAACAAACGTTAAATTTAGATTTTTGTTTGATGTTTTAAAAGAGTAGATTTTCATAAAATGACCTAGTTTGGCTTAATGGTACTGTCAAAGAATTTGATGAAATGCTGCTTACAAGGCTTAAGTTATGAATGGAATGCTATAATAAAAGTTGCATTTTATATAACTTTGAAGAGTTTTATTAAACAGCTATATGATTACATATACACACACGGCGGGGGTGGGGTGGAAGGGAAGGAGGAAGAGAGGGGAAGCGGGGAGGGGGGGTAGGAAGGTTGGGAGAGAGAAAGAGGAAAACAATTTAACTGTTTTCTTCATTTCAGGGTGCCTTTAGCCGTTTGGATCCAACTGGAAAATTTGAAAAAGATATGATTGAGAGAATTCCCTGTGGTCGGCTGGGGACCGTGGAAGAACTTGCAAATCTTGCTACTTTCCTTTGCAGTGATTATGCTTCTTGGATTAATGGAGCAGTAAGTATCCTTGTGTGTCTTGTCTTCTTGTGGGTATGGGGAGCCCTGTTTTGGAACCAGTCCAAATAATACTGAATGTAAATATGATTTTTAAAGCATTTAATTAGCTGTAAATAATACGTATTTATATGTTTAGCCTTATATGTTTAGAAACATTTATTTCTTGATAAATTATTTTTACTAAGTAAAAGTTATCTTGGTAGATATGACTTTAAGATGATCTTTAAACTGTAAAATTCTGTTGGAAAGAGCATTCAAAGAAGAATAAAGTGGAGGCTTAGAGAGATGGCTCCGTGGTTAAGAGCACTGGCTCCTTTTGCAGAGGACCGAAGTTCAGTTCTCAGCACACGCATGAAGGCTAAAATCTGTGTAACTCCAGTTCCAGGGGATCCAACTCCTGCTTCTGGTTCTGTGGGTACTGTACGACATGAGCGCACTTGACATATAGGCAGGCAAACATTCATACAAATTAAAAAAAATCAATTTAGGTTTAATCATCAGTTTTACCTTTTCAAATCTAAGCTTTGGTTGAAAGTACCCAGGAGGCATTTCATTCAATTAGTATGTGAAAATGGTTAATAACTGAGGGACTTTCATAAAACAGTGAAAGGGTTTGTAATATCTTTTTCAGGTCATTAGATTTGATGGTGGAGAGGAAGTATTTCTGGCAGGTGAATTCAACTCTCTAAAGAAGGTAATCCCATTTATTTATATACTATTGCAAGCTAGGGTACTGAGCTTTAAATCACAGAAGGATACAATTAAATTGACTGTCTTCCTACATCAGGTCACCAAGGAGGAGTGGGACACAATCGAAGGACTCATCCGCAAGACGAAAGGCTCCTAAGAACATTCTGGCCTCATCGTGGACACAATGAAGTTTAGGGGCTAGAAATGATACAAAAGGACTGTGGTCTTCTGAGTAACTTCAAGTCTAATAAATTGTTTGGTCTGATGGTTTCTCCTAGGGATTAAACCCTGGGCGTCTGGGATTAAACCCAGTCTGGAATTCACACTGCTACATCTGGGCTGCACCCCCAGCCTTACTGTTAATACATTCACTGAGTATGTAGTATGTGCCAAGCTAAGGGTGGCTATTGTGTACTGAAGGTTACATCAGACAGGATATAATCTCTTCGAAATATGTTTTAAAAATTAAAATTAAAAGGAGAGAGTAAACCTTAAATTATCCTTGGGTCAGAAGGCTGCTAGGAGGGACTAGAAGCTTAGCTCCACAGCCTTCCCCACCCAGGAAAATCCCTGCTTCTTTTTTTGCTTATCCACTCTGAACCCGCAGCCAGTTCTTGTGCCTCAGACCCCAGAGACCTGCAACGCCAACCCACAGCACCATCCAGGCGCTCAGGTGTGCGAGGTCATAGGACTTCAAATTGCACAGGCTGTGGGCCATGCATGCTCCCACTCCCTGGACTCTGCCCAGTTCTGGAAACCTTTGGGCTCGAGTACATCTTGGGCATCATGTAGCCACCTGATGGTGGGGAAAGTAAGGTGCAGTCTAGAAAATGTTCCTATCAAAACTGTCCTCACTTTACTCTTTAACTCAGAATATAATAGTATCTACTTTTAAAAATTGTGGATGGAAAAGCCTTTTAAACATCACCAAAGCTACGTGAGTTTTTAATTTAATGCTTTAAAACATTATTCAGTTATATTAATTCTGTGTCCTTAAAATGCTGGGTGTCGTGGCACATGCCTTTAATCCCAGCACTCAGGAGGCAGAGGCAGGTGGATCTCTGTGAGTTCAAGGCCAGCCTGGTCTACATAGTCAGTTCCAGGACAGCTGGAGCTACAGAAAGACACTGTCTCAAAAAGACCAAATTTTTTTTCTTATATTTTATTAGTTTTCATTGTTATGTATGTGAGTGTATTGTTTGCGTGTGTGTAAGTAAGTGCACCATGACATGCAATGCCAGCCAGCAAAGGTCAGAAGAAAACTTCGAATTCTCCTGGAATTGGACTTAGCCTCCATGTGGGTGCCGGAAGTTGAACCTGAGTCCTCTGTAAGAGCAGTAGTGCTCTACACCACTGAGCCATCTCCCCAGCCTCAATTCCGTGTATTTAAAATGTCTTAATTTGCATCAGTATGAATTGTGGCATTAACAGTTAAAACAGTTATCACTCCAAGGCTAACTCCTTATGTTTAATTTTTTTCCAAATTTTGTGAGTGCACTGTGTCAGAAACATAGGCATTTGTTGTTCCTCAATGTCAGGATTATTGATTAACAACAATACATTCACAAAGTATATTTTTTGATTGGCTGCACTCTCCAAGGAGTTTCAATTTCTCTTGATAACTGACCATTGGCAAACAGATTCTTTTATGTCAACCTTTATAATATTAGCTCTGAGATTGCATATCACACATCATACAGTAATAGTGCACATATGTATATATATATTATATAATAGGTACCAAAAAGTTAAAGAGGCTTCAGCAGACTTCTAGGAGTTCTAAGAGGCCTCAATGGAGAGAGGAGTGAAGAGCTGATAAAGATACAATGAGAATGACTGCAAAATATTAGTGAGCACAGCTGGAGGACTTCTGGAGGCACTCTGAGATGGGCTCTGCGGTTCAGGTGGATAAACAGATGGACAGACTGATGGCAATTCAAGTAGGTCCCATCAGCAATAGGGACCAAACTGAACTGAAGCCCTGGGGACAGGAGTTCTCTGCCGGTCCTTCCCTTGATGCACACATGATGTGATCCGATGATAGGTCATGGGGGCCATCATCACCTCAATGTTAGGTGTGCTTTCCTCTCTTTTAAAAAAGATTTGTTATGTATTTATATGTTTGTGGAGGTTTATATGCACAAGTGTGTGCAATTGCCAATGGAGGCCAGAAGAGCAAGTTAAATCCCCCTGAACCTGGAGTTACAGGCTGTTGTGAGCTGCCCAGTGTGGGTGCTGGGAATCAAGTTCAGCAAGAGCTGAACAGCAAGAGCAGCAATTACTCTTAAGCTCTGAGTTATCTCTTCAGCCCCAGGTGTGCTTCTCTTTAAGGGGTCCAGGTGAGGGTGCTGCAGTCTTGTGTATTTGGTAATTTCTCCAGCATGGTTTTACTGATAGAGTTTTAGCCCATGTGTATTAATATGTTTCCAACATCATTTAGTAAAGTTGTAAGTAGTACTATTTTTTTTACTTTCAGCAGTACATTATTTATCACTCTGTGTTTCATGGGTGGTGCCAGATAGTTAGTTGTGATAACTGCCCAAAAGGTTCAGAATCATCCTGCCTCTGCATATGCACTCAAAAGAAGCCAAATGCTGCTATGTAAAAAGGACTCACCCAAGTGGAAGGACTCACCTCTCTAAGGATTCAAAGATAGGTGTGTTTCAATTGGAAAATCCTTAGAGATCAGGAAACTAATAAGGGGCCATGGGAAGTAGTTCATGGGAGGGGAGACAGAATGCAGTGCTATAAATGGGAAAGGGGAATGATGGAGAGGATGGGTTTAATGGGCTAGGGAATGGGAGGGCAGGGCAGAACAGGGAGAAAAGAGGAGGGATAGCTAACACTAAAGGCCTTTTGAAAGAGTCATATGGAAACCTACTATAGAAGCTTCTTTCAATATATGCATGTATAATATGAAAAGAGTTTAAATGTAGTTACCCTATAATAGGGGTTCAGTGGACCTAATAGACATAAATGAAATGAAATAGACACAAATATGAAATGAATAGACACAAATGGCAAACGAAAAGTTCAGTGCCAGGAATGGACTCCTTTTGGAGTTGTTCACCAGAGATATCCCATAGACCCTCAAACAATATGGTCTATTCCATTGCACAAGGTTGCCCACCAGAACTTGTTGGTAATACCCTATTGCTGAAGATAATAGATACCTGAGTCACAGAACAGACAAGAAGAAATGAAGCTAGTACTGACCTCAAAGTCACATCACTAACTTTGATGGTTAGGTTCCATAGTACTAGAAGGTGCCATATATGGTGCCTGGTAGAGAGAGGTAATCATTAGCCTTCCTCATCTGTGAACGCTTTGGCTTATAATAACAACTGATGGCAAAAAATACCCCACTAATGGGGCTGGAGAGATGGCTCAGTGGTTAAGAACACTGGCTGTTCTTGCAGAAGACCTGGGTTAGAATCTCAGCACCCGCATGGCAGCTAACAGCTGTCCGAAACTCCAGTTCCAGGGCACCTGATAGCCTCTTCTGTTCTCTGCAGGCATTGTATGACACGGGTACACTTACCTACATGCAAGAAATACATGCATACACATAAAATAAAAATAAATAAAATATATATTTTTTAAAAAGCCCACTGGTACAATAGTGACATGAATATGACACATAGAAGTATCCAGTCACCTTCTAATTATATTAAAGGCCCACTTCACAATAGGGAACCCATACCCGGCACTATTATCAGATCAGAAGTGTTCAACCTTAGGATAAAAAAAAGATAGCTCTGGGATAGCACTAAATATTTTTCAGTTATTTATCTCTGTTGAGTGTGAATACTTTGTGTGTGTGTGTGTGTGTGTGTGTGTGTGTGTATGTATGTATGTGTGTGCAGGTACATGTGAATAGTGGGTACATGTAGAAGCTAGAGGACAATCTTGAGTGTCTTCTCAGGAGCTGTTCACCTGTTCTTTGAGTCAGGGTCTCTTACTGGCCTGGAGCTCACCCATTAGACAAGCTGGCTGGTCAACCTGCCCCAGGAATCTGCTTCCCCAGTGCTAGGATTATAAGCACACCCCACGGTGTCTTGCTTTTGTGAAATGTGGCTTTTGGTGATTGAACTCAGATCCTCTTGCTTGCACAGCAAGCACTTTATCAAATGAACATCTCCCCAGTGCCCTGATTACCCTCTGAATTTACTTTCTGATAGGACTGGGGAATAACACGTTCATCACATTAGTCAGTTCAAACAAGTTACCTGAAGTCTTGTTGATCAGCACCAGTAAAGTTCTTTTTTAATTTAAAGACATTTAAAAAATTTTTTTGTGTGTGAGTGTATTGCCTGCATGTATGTAAGTGTACCTATGTTGTGCAATGCCACGGAAGTCGGAAGAAGACATCAGATCCTGGGGAACTCTGGAGGTATGGATGGTTGTTAGCTGCCATGTTGGTACTGGGAGCCACACCTGGATCCTCTGCAAGAGCAGCCAGTCCTCTCAACTGGTAAGCCATTTCTCCAACCCCTAATTTTCCCTTTTTTGTTGTGTCTGTATTTGGTTTCAGCATTAGAGTAATACTGACTTTACAGAGGGAGTTTGGGAATTCTCACTCTGTTTCTAACTTTTTGAATAATTTAAGCAGTGTTGTAGTTCCTCTTTGAAGATCTGGTACAGTTCTGTTGTGAATCCATTTGTACTTGGGATGTTTCTAAGTCTGGAGGCTTTGTATTACTGTTTTAATCTTTTGTGGTTTTAAGTTGTGACTTCTTGGTTTAACTTTCATGATTTAACTTTGTGTTGAATCTAGAAATTCATTCATTTCTTTTAGAGTTTGTAATTTAATAGAGTATAGGTTTTTAAAGTATTCCCTTATAATGTTCTGGATATTTTTGGTGTCCATTGAGATGTTTTCCCCTTCATCTCTGATTTTGTGGAACTGGATTTGCTTTTTCTTTCTTTTGGTTAACTGGGCTAAGGGCCTATCTTGTTAATCTTTTCAAAGAAACAGTTCTTAAATCCATTGATTCTTTGTATTGTTTTGTTTCTATTTCATTGATTTCTCCTCTGATTTTTACTATTTCTTCTCATTTGTTGGGTTTTTATTTGGGCTGTTCTTACTTTTCCAGATTCTGGTTGTACCATTAACTCATTTGTTTGTGCTCTTTCTGATTTTTAAAGAAGATATTTTATTTATTATTTTTATTTTATGTGTTTGCATGTTTTGCATGAGTGTAAGTGCACCTGTGTTTTGCAATGCCCAAAGAGGTCAGAAGAGTGCATCAGAGCCCCTGGAGCTGGAG